ATATTTATTATTATTCCGCATTGATAGGCTTACCTAGTCTTAGAGACTAGGTGCCATCACGAATCTTACGGAGGGAATTTGGGGTCGTGACATCAGAGCACGCGACGTGCAAAATTTATGACAAACAAAAATTTCATATTTCCTTGGACATGGAAAGTAATTAATATCATCATAGTAGTAATTAACATAATGTCTCGAACCCACCAGGTCCTCCATAAAATGAAATATGCTGATACTTTCCACCTCTCCAATGTTATACATTCATAACACCATACCGATCAGAATCATCAACACATACAGTCGTTTTGTCTATATGTACTGCCTCAGCTTTACCATTTAAAATATTAAGTCTCCTACAATAAGCATCGTAATTTGGATCTCCAATAGGAAAACAATTGGAGCCCATTGGAGGTTCAGACACGCTTGGCGGACTGTATGCTACTCCTCCCCACTCAACACTAGTAGCAAAGCTTGCCATGTTGCTGAAAAGCCTTTGAGGCCAAAAACCAACTTGTTCGTTGCTTTCACCAAACAAAAGCCACCAGTTTCCATTGGCTAGATCCTTTTCAGAAAGAAATGTCTAATATTACTAAATTGTACCTTTCAATTCTAATCAATGCAATTGTAAATACGAAAACCAACTCAAAACTTGAAAATAATTCTGCAAAAGAAGAAAAAACATACTCGTTCGATGAACATTGCGATCTCCAATACTCTTTTATCTCCACGTTGTGTAACTGGATCAAAGACCCCATCAACAGGGTACTTACTACTTACAATGACAAATCCGGGCATAGCGTGTTGAAGCAATGTGTATTACCAGCCTAGTAAATGTAAAATATGCATTAACGCTTCTCAATCGAGGTATTATTTAGCTAGAAATATGTACTACTTTCATGATCACAAAAAAAAAAATCATTAAAGTACACAAATTACCTGAAAATGTACAAAATATCTAGTCTTATTGTCCCCATATAGTGTTGGATCCACCTGAAACATAAAATAGATTTATCATGGTTGAACGGGAGCTCATGTTATAGGTTCTAACTTACATCCTAAAGGTCAATAGTTAATCTCATCTCCTAGAAAATAAAAAGAAAACAAGCTATCACAAATAAACAAAAATAATTAAATTATAATTGAACAAGTTGTTAAACTTACTCTCCACCCAGTTTGTAAATTGTCTGATCCTTTCTGAATTTTCAGCCGACATGCAGTGTGCTGTTGACTTTCAATACGAGGATTCCATAAACTAGCTGACATTTCAGCACTCGAAAACTTATTATTTGGGTTATTTGGAATTTGAACTATTGCGAGCTGAATATAATAAATGAAATTTTTTAATCAACTTACAAAACTGAAAAATGAGAAGCTGATAAATATTCATATTTATTTACCTTGTATCCCTGTGAGGATATGGAAGTTCTCTTTAGCTCACTATTGTTGTTACTCTGCATTAAACCAACAGAATATATATGATATGCTACGATGATGGAAGACTTAACATTTTTCTTTTTACATGAACCCCTTTTTCTTGTTACAATTATATTGATGCTTAAACTATTAGATTCTAACAAATGAAATCAGTGATTCTTTTTTTCTGGAAATGAATTATCAAGACAGGCAATGATTTGGGTCACATTATCTTACATTACTCAATGGAGCTTCATATGCGATAGCGGCGGAATATGTCTTTGTCTAATAAGATCATCTCTGGTAATTCTTTTAATAGGAACAGTTTCGAAAGGACAACCTCTTTCCTTTAACCATATCCCTGATGACTCATTAGCTTCATGAGCTGCTGAAGTATCTGAATTTTGTAATGTGCTAGCTAAAATAGGTTTTATCTGTCAATCAAAAACTTAAATATGTGTTATCAACAATTCTAAATTATTATTAAATAGTTGAAAGTAAAATGAAAAGAGTAAACATACCTTAGGATAAATATCGTGATTCTTTAACAACGGATGATCAAATGCAAGTTGTTTATAGAAATTCACGCAATCATATGTATCCCCATATTTTGTCTGTGACCCAAAACATCGTAAAATAAGAAATCTTCAGGTACAAAAATATGGAATTGAGGAATATGTATATTTTTTTCTACAAAAGTAATGCCGGCACACTAAGAAAATAATCACTCAAAACACTTGAGAATACATTGACTAATTCCCAATTTGTCGTCTTATGGCTATACCACTTGGCATCATTTAATTATTTACTTCTTTTTTATATATATATATATATATATAATAAAATAGTCATTTATATAGACTACTATATTAGGAAGAAACTACTCCCCAAATTGAATTGAAAGTTTATATTTCTTTATTTTTGTTTTTTTATTTTAAAATAATTTTAAAACTCCAACTTGAAACTACTCCCCAATTTGAATTGAAAGTTTTTTTATTTTTTATTTTCGTTTTTTATTTTAAAATAATTTTAAAACTCCAACTTGAAACTGCTCCCCAATGTGAATGGGTAGGATTTTTTTATTATATATTTTCGTTTTTTTATTATAGATAATTTTATTTTTTTCGTATTTTTTTTATAAGATACGAAACTTATAAAAAATGAATGGGAAT